GATCTCTAGGAATGAAGTTGAAGAAAACTGAAGTGACGGAGGACAAGACACCTACTCAGACAACAGGAATCCCACCCCTAAACTGTAAGAGCCACCCCTCCCTTGCCCCCTGCCCGAAAAATTCAGTCCCAATCACTAGACAGGGTGGGGCAAAAAGGATATCTGAGCACAGTGTGACTGGTGATTCATCACGTACAAGGAAATTAATCAAATAATTAAACGTAATGAAGATAATGACAGTCTTGCCTCTTACTGTCAAAGAAAAAAACCCAAAAATACAGAAAGGGAAAAAACTGGGCCAAATCCTCTGGTATTAGGCTGGAATTAGAGATATCTGATTAAATTCATATTTTAACATATACATAAGCAAAAGTAGAATTAAATATAAATACAGAAATACATATAAGGGGCCCCTGGGTGTTCAATTGGTTAAACGTTTGCCTTTGGCTCAGGTCATGACCCCAGTGTCCTGGGTTCCAGCCCCACATCAGGGCCCCTGCTCAGTGGGGAACCTGCTTCACCTTCTCCCTCTACTGTTCCCCCTGCTTGTGCTCACGCTCCCTCTTTCTCTGTCTCCCCCTCATCAAATAAATATATAAATATATAAAATCTTAAAAAAAAAAAAGAAAGAAATCTATATAAACATAAAGGGCTGTGCTAAGAGACGCAGAAGCACTGACACCCCAACAATGATAATCACACCTAATGCCCAGATCTTGTTTTCTAAATACTGTCCCCCACTAAAAGGAACCAGGCATCCTTGTAGAAAGAGCAGATTCCAGGGCTGGAGCAGGGAAAATACAAGATGAGTCAGGAACAGTTTACTGTACTTGCAAGAAAGAAAGTGTTCAAATGACAAGACATCTCAAAAGGACACAGAATCAATTTGAAGGAACTCCTAAAGGCCAAATTTGAGATAAGCCAAGCATCAAAACAATTAAGGGGAGTAACTGATTAGAAATCACTGAATAAAAAGGAAATCCATGAATGAGTCCATCTGAAATAGCTAGAAAGACAGGGAGATAGATGGGAGGGAGTGGTGGGAGACTGGAAGAGAAAGAAAGGAAAGGGAGAAGCAAACAAATTAGTTGGCAAGGGGATACTTATTTACAGTCTCAAAGAAGGAACTCTCAACAAAATTCTTATTATGTGTGTGTGTGTGTGTGTAACTTCACAAAACAGTGCCCTACCTGATAAAATAATGTGCAAAGAGAATACTTCTCACAGAGCAACACTTTTGTGATATTCCAAATCAAGAAACATGGGGGCACCTGCTGGGTTAGTCAGTAGAACATGCCACTCTTATTCCCGGGGTTATAAATGGGAGACCCATCTTGGGTACAGAGATTACTTTAAATAAAACAAAACCTAGAAAATAAAACAGTTTACCAAACTAAGAAACAGTATAACAAAATAACTGGCCTACAATCTTCAAAAATGTCAAAGTCACGGGGATCCCCGGATGGGTCAGTGGTTTGGCGCCTGCCTTCGGCCCAGGGCATGATCCTGGAGACCCGGGATCTAGTCCTACATAGGCTCCCTGCATGGAGCCTGCCTCTCCCTCTACCTGTGTCTGTGCCCCTCCCCACTTCAGATGAATAAATAAATGAAATCTTAAAAAAAAATAAAAATAAAAATAAATAATAATAATAAATGTCAAAGTCAAAAAAGCAAGAAAAGACTAAAGAACTATTCCAGGTTAAAGAAACAAGTGTTAACAAAGAAAAAAACAAGCCCAAACAAGTTATTGCCTCCCCAAGATAGCAAACCAAGACTTAATTATAGTTTCAACCTACCCCAGGAATGTGACCTTTTAACAATCAACCAGAAGTTTCCTGATAAGCACAAGTGAGGTAATCTGCATGATAAAAATTCTGCCCCTCCCTCCCCCTCAAAGGAAGATATCCTGGCATGAAATAATCCCCTTCCCCTAGTAACTCCAAACTCTCAGTTTTTACAACTCCCAGCAGCATCTCCACCTGCTAGATGCAGATGTAGCATTTGTGAACTGCTTCATAAAGTCAATTAGATCTTCAAATCTACTAGGTTGAATTTTGTTTTTTAACACAAGAAAACAAAATGGAACATGATTCTGGGAAGGACTGATCTCATATAAAGGACAATACCAGCAACTGGCAAAACCTGAATGGATGGTGAGGAATGAATGGCAGAACTGGAACAATGTTAACTTCTTGATCTTGATGGTTGTTCAGTGGTTACAAAGAAGAATGTATTTGATTGCAGGCAAAATATACTAAATAACTCAGGAGTGAATAAGCATCATGTTGGAAAGTTAAAGTCTATTCTTGGCTGGAGGGTGGGGGTGGGGCACAGATCTTGTCCCACACATTCCCAATCAGTTCCACAGACTCCTTGAATGCATTTATGTCCGCTACCTTAGACAAACGGTTTTGATCTATATACAAAAGTCACGGAGTAAGGCATCTGTTACATGGACCAGAAGCCAGGAATGAGAGAATGAGAGAGAGAGAGAGAGAGAGAGAGAGAGAGAGAGAGAGAGAGAGAGGGCAAACCTGACATTCTCTCACATGCTATATAGTCAGGCTGACTTTAATACTCTTAGATGTTTAACTTCAGTAAATGTTACCTAAAATCAGCCCTGACTGAAATTCTTCCTTCATGGCCCTGTATTTCGGTCTGGGGTATCCACTGTGCTGTTCTACAGAAATGGTAAAGGGATAAATAAGAGGACTGGTTATATCTCCTGACCCACATACTGAAGAACCAGATGTGAGGCAAAGAATCCTCATTCTGTCATGGTGGTGCCCATGTGAAGAGAGAACAGAGGGCTAGCTGAGGACAAAGCACAAGCTGATACCCCACAAATGACACCCCCCCCCCCCCGTGGGATATGCGTGACATTCCTCAGGCACTCCTGGCTGCCCTAAAGCTAAGGGAAAGGAAAAACTATAGTTAATTCATAGATTATAGTCCTATAGACATGAGTCTCCCTCAATTTATAAAATGTCTTAGTGATTCACAAGAAAACATTCTTATCAATAACCTAACTTCCAGAAAGAAACTCCCAATTATCTTAATGTTAATGCTTTACTAGAGGGAAAAACAACCTTAACTTGACAATGGCAAGGCCTCCAGTATTGCTAGATCCTCTTTAGAATGCAAAAAATCTTTTGAAAACCCCCCTCTTCCTATTGCCCCCAACTCCCAAGTATATAATCAGCCACCCTTCACCACCCTGGGACAGCAGCTCTTCCTGCTCCTGGGCCCTATGTCTGTTCTTTAATAAAACCACCATTTTGCACCAACGACAACTAAAGAATTCTTTCTTGGTCATTGGCTCCCGATCTCACCCCACCAAACCTCACCTATATTCCAAAACTACATCACATGTGCTAGAAAGAACTGTTCCTACAGACCAACCTAATGCTTTGGCCTAAGCAGTAAAATAGAAAGACAACTGTCTGCATCTCCTTTTCATACAACTTCATTTCTGAACCAAGAAATGCCGAGTAAGAGGGAGGCTGTAAAACCTCTTCTCTTCACCTTTCCACAGACTCTGTTATGTTCCATATTAAATGGCAAGGAGCTTTAGGGTCATAATCACTCCTCATACAAAAGATCTACAGTTCTTTTTCTAAAGAAAACATGGATTCCATGCACAGAAACCCATATCTATGGAACAATCCGGTTAGAGTGGAAGTTCTTTCTTAAATTTTTTACAGCAGAACATAAATTTTCTCTTCCACCTAATAGGTAACTAAAAAGTACAATGTTCCATAACCAGTACACGAATGGCTTGCAATCACTGGATAAGTTCATACAAGACACTACAGAGCCAGAGACTCACTAACGCTCTACGGCCTGAACCGTATCCATCTTCTACCATCGATTATTATTCTGTATAGAATCTGATTTACCTTTAACTTCATCTGCAACAAATCAGTGTTTCATCAATTGTTCAGAAGCTCAGACTACTGGACTATGATTATTTTCTCTTAGAATGAAACTCCAAATGAGTAAGTTAAGTAAAAAGAGGAGTCAAATGGACCCAGCAACTTCCCTTCCTCCTACATTCATCTGGTCTACACATAGAGTCTGGATCACTCTGTTTTCAATATTCATTACACAACGTGGTGCCTTGTAGGAGTGTAACTCTATGTTCTTGAGCTTTAGGAAGCATCAATACAGGAACACTTCACTTCAGTGGATTTGTGTCTTCTGTGAAATCACAGCTAAAAACATAATCCACTGTGTCACACAATGGCATAACCCAAAGAATGTTTTTTTCATTGAGCAGCACAATGCCAGGAAAAAGCCTGTCTCTGTAAACAAATGAGCAGGCTTTCTTTCCACGGACAATGAATACTATGAGACTCTACGCTATACAGAGAAAGGACTGGTTCCTTATTAGTCTTAGCAGCCTGAAAACTTAAAGAAAAATGTCTTGCACAACAGTTAAGTTGGCTCACATCAGGAGCCTGGGACCTTCAAGTCTATGCTCTTTGTAGATGGCTTATTATGTTTTTATCTTTAATTGTTCTGTTGGGTTTTTTTTTTTTAAGATTTTTATTTATTTATTCATGAAAGACAGAGAGAGAGAGAGAGAGAGAGAGACAGAGAGGCAGAGACACAGGCAGAGGGAGAAGCAGGCTCCATGCAGGGAGCCTGACAGGGGACTCCAGGATCAGGCCCTGGGCTGAAGGCAAGTGCTTAACCTCTGAGCTACCCAGAGATCCCCATGTTCTGTTTTATATTACCTTTAATTCCATTAGACTTAAATCCTCTGTAAAGTACCCAGAGTATGTACGTACATATTTTCTATCTCTTACAGTTCTTCCTTCTGAAATCTCTTACATTTTTGGGTATCATTCTATATTTAATGGCCTAGAAATTAAAAATGATACTGATGCCAAGAGGTTAACTGAATAAAGACCAAACAATCTGCATGGTTAACTTCCCAGACACCAGTAAATGGGCTCCGGCCCCACGGCTCCGGCCCAGCGGAGCTCACACATCACCTTTGCAGTAGTCGGCAGGGTCCTCCTGCTCCTCATCGTCAGATCCCAGGATCTCCTCCTCTGGCTCTGGGGGTGTGGGGTCCGGTAGAGGCGGTGGCGGTGGCGGAGGTGGTGGTGGAGGAACTAAGGGAGCTTTCTGCTGAGGCTCCGGCCTGAAACAGTGGAAGGAAAATTCCTATTTACTTAGAAGCCAATCTTGCATCATGGACACACACGAGCGTTTCTTGATACAAGAGAAAAATAAAGCTGGTCACACACTAAAGAAGGAATGCTGATTAATGTCACTTTGTCATTTTAGCTGAATTCAAGTGATGTTTCAACATACGGGTCAGGAGGAAAAAGTTATACTTTGTAGACGCGTTTTCACTCAGAGATTCAGTATTTCTTAAGTCCTGACAATATTATGAAATATAAGTGAAATATGAAGAGTACTCACCCTGCCCCCCATGATATGCAGCCTTATTAACTAGTTAGAACATATCCCACAGAGATTATAAAAAGACAGATGGAAGCAGCCCTGAACTTAAAACAGGACTTATTTTGGACTTGTTTTTATTATTTTAAAATTAAATTCTATAGAGATAGTAAGAATGTGGCTAGGTTTCCTGGATGACTCCTAAAAGATGACTAATATATGCTGTAGCTGACACACAGTTATTTTCAGTAAAGAACTCAGTTATCTATCAACCTCGCTCATCAAGAACACTACCCCCAAACTAGAAATGAAAAAGAAAGCAGCCACTGTCTATCGCATATGGTATAGTCTGTACATTAATGCAAGGTTTGCAAGGTTGCAAAATGGTCATTTCTAATTGTCACACAAAGGCTACATGATGTTTAAGTATGCTCTTTTACAAAAGATGAGAAAACCTGTAATACAAAAAAAAAAAATTTTTTTTTTTTTTAAGCTTGAGAGATTACAGATGTAAACCTTTCAGGTACCTAGAAACTCAGGGGCATACTGAATACATGTGCTTATTAAATAAGTAAAGCATTCATAAAGCACCTCTATAAAATCAAGCTTTCACTTACTCTAAAAAATCTAACTGCTATTTCTGACTGTGTCCTTCTGGGGAAACTTGAAGCCTTGGTTACAACTCAGGCACAAGAAGCACATCTCTCCTTTAAACAACAAGCTGTCCTTAGTAGCAATGGGACCAGCACTGCTGGCCAGAGCTGTGCGGGTAGGAAATGGGAAGGGTCCAGACACCCCACAGAATATAGAGATGTTCCCTGGACAGACTTTCAGGAGGGTGAGCGGGACTCTCTAGTCTGGGGAGCAAGGGGAATCCCACAAGGACGAAAGGGATAGCCAACTGCTCTTGGTTTTGGCCTGTCCAGTACCCATGATTCTCCTTTAAAAGCGCCTCTGAGACACTGCTACTCTTGCACAATGGAAAGCTGGTTCCAGGTCCGCTCTCCTCACTGTAGTACAGCCTAGGGCACACAGAGCCAAAGCTCACCCAACAGTCCCCGTACCTCCAGGTCAGCGGTCACAGAGAGAAAATTGATCTGCAGCTGCCAGTGAGAGGCAGGGCCAGCAGAGCCACCCTGACCACTGCCCCCGTCCCTGACTAGAAGCCAGACCTCTAGATTCCTGCCAAATCGAAGATCCTCCAAATAGCATTTACTATATTGCCTCTAGCCTAAGTTAGCTAGAGTTCACATACGTGGTTTGCCACCAAAACTCAAACTGCCACAGGTCACAAAAGGGGGCAGGCATGGAAAGCAGCAGAAACACCAGCATCGTGGGGAAGGAGCAGGGGTCACAGCCCACGGGTGACCTTAAAGGCGAGCACCGGCAGGTATGAAAATCATTGGCAGAACAACTGAAGAACACTTAAATACTGAAATGACTTGGGTTGACTTCTACTTGCTAGAATTTAGTTAGAGGCAAAGTCACAGCCCCCTGGGTGATGACATTGGAGCATTCCGAGCTAAGCACTGCTCCTGGTGGAGCACTGGAAGGGAATACTCACCACCCAACACCCACATCACTGTCAGAATACATCCAAAAATACATCCAACAGACCTTATGGAAGTTTAATAATCTTTCTGGCAGCCTCGAAAATGCTCCTTCTCTTTTAAACATACACGCCTTTACCACAAGTAGAATGCTGCTGGACAAAAGCGAGGCCTGAAGAAGGGGAGGCAGCAGGACGGCACCAGCGGGAAAGGAAGGCCAGCAAGACACGGTCTTACGCGCCCCACTCATTCTTCAGGGCAGCGTGCGACACCTCCCTAGTGGACAAATCTCGGTCAGAAAGGCTTTGAAAGTTGGCTCTTTCTTCCTTAGACATCTTATATGAAAAAATGGGGAGATTCTCCACATCTAAAAGAAAACCCATCCTATTCCCTACAGAAACTAGTAACAACTAATGAACCGAGGCCGAGGATCTTGTTCTTCCAGTGCCAGGCTCTACTGTGCCCTGCACCACCGCCGTCTGGGCCCGGTAATTCGCCGTAGCAGGGGCTGTTTTCTATTCCGTAGGATGTTACCAGCAGCCCTGGCCTCAAGCCACTAACGTCAGTAACGTCTCCTCCTCCACCCCCAGTTGTGGCCATCAAAACTATGTTCAGACATCAACAACTCCCCTGGGGACAAAGTCATGCCCATTTGAGAACCACTGCTCTCATGGTATTTTCTGTATTTAGCTTTATCTCTATAGAGTAGATTGTATCTGTAACAAGGGAAAAGAAATTCTAATTTTCATGACCCCATTTTCTCTCTTTTGAGAAGCTCAAATACCTTCATCATAATGTCTTTCTTTTAATGACTCTTAACTAATTTGGTGAGCTGCCCTTATCACTTGACAAAATTCTCAGACCCTCTGGTCTCAATGAGCAGGTCCTGCTCACCTTTCCAGTGAGGGCACAATGAACAGGCAGGCCGAAAACCCCCCAAAGCCAGTTAGGTCTCATGTGTAAGGGAGGAGTCGGGAGTACCTTGAAGTATAAAGGAGGTTGAGTAATGCTGACATAATATTTCACCTGGCTATCCTAACAAAACATCTAGGACTATGATGTCTAATCAGTAGCCACCGGCCACATGCGGGTACCTGAAATGTAACTAATCCAAATCAAGATAAGTGTAAAACACATACTAGATTTCCAAGATTTCATACAAAAAATGTAAAGTATCTTAATAATTTTACATTTATTACATATTAAAACAATAATGCTTGGGATAAAATGAGATAAATTACTAAACTAGGGATCCCTGGGTGGCACAGCGGTTTGGCGCCTGCCTTTGGCCCAGGGCGCGATCCTGGAGACCCAGGATCGAATCCCAGGTTGGGCTCCCGGCATGGAGCCTGCTTCTCCCTCTGCCTGTGTCTCTGCCTCTCTCTGTGTGTGACTATCATAAATATTTAAAAATTAAAAAAAAAAAAAAAGATTCTCTTTCTAAAAAAAAAAAAAAATTACTAAACTCACCCGATTATTTTACATTTTTAAGTGTGCCTACCAGAACACTTCAAATTACAAATGAGGCTCACATGATATTTCTCCCGGACAGCACTACTCGACCCTTCAGATCACCAATACCAGAGGACATTCCTGGTCACCCAATAACTATGGTTTTTCTCCTGCCTCACATCAATTATCACCAATACATCATAGTAAGGCTCAGAACAATGCTATAGTTCCAATCATGATTTTTTTTTCATCCCATCCATCCTTGTTACTGCTTACTACACAGTAGAAACACAGATAAATTTGCCTTAAGGCAACTGTATGGACGAGGCCACACCATCTTTAAGGCTGGCTTCCTCAAAGTGGTTTCTCATGGCTTCTAACAAGTATTACAAAGCCTGGTTAAATCTCAACTATTTAACAGATGCAGAGGTGGCAGTTTGTATCAACAAATACATACTCATGAAATATATCAACAGATTTTTAAAAACATCTTTTCATCAACCCTAATGAAAACCATCAAGTTATTTCATATAAGAATTACTAGAAAAGCACCTAAGAACACATGTAGGGAACTCATAAATATTTTCAACAAGGGTGTCAACACAATTAAATGGTGAAAGAACAATCTTTCCAAAAAATGGTACTGGGACAAATGGTTATCTAGTATGCAACAAAATAAAGCTGTAACTCTACCTCACACATACATAAACATTAATTCAAAATGGATCAAAGACTTAAATGAAGAAACTAGAACTATAAAACTAGGAGGAAAAAAATGTAAGTAAATCTTCATTACCCTAGGCTAGGCAATGTTTCTTAGATATAACACCAAAAGCATATGCAATAAAATAAAAAGTGAACTTGGGCAGCCCCGGTGGCTCAGCAGTTTAGCGCCACCTTCGGCCCAGGGCGTGATCCTGGAGACCCGGTATGGAGTCCCAAGGTCTGTCTGGCTCCCTGCACGGAGCCTGCTTCTCCCTCTGCCTGTGTCTCTGCCTCTCAAATAAACAAACCAACAAACAAACCAACAAACAGATAATAACAAGTAATGTGGAGAATGAAGAAATTAGAACCTGAATTTGTAGCAGGAGTGTTACGTTGTCCAGCAGCTTTGCAGTCTGGCAGTTCCCAAAAAGGTTGAATTTAGAATCACTATGGAACCCAACAATTCCACTTCCAGATACATACCCAAAAGAAATGAAAACATATATCTCCCCAAAATCTTGTGCAACAATATTCAAAGCATTATTCATGATAGACAAAAAATGTGCATCAACTGATAAATGAATAAAAAATGTGCATAAATAAAATGTAATATTAAGGAATAAAAAGAAACAAAGATAAGAAAAAAAGTACTAACACATGCTACAACATGGGTGACCCTTGAAAACATTATGCTAAATGAAAAATATCAGGCACAAAAGACCATGTTATAGGATTCCATTTTACATAAAAATGTCCAGATTGGGGCACCTGGGTAGCTCAGTGGTTGAGCATCTGCCTTTGGCTGAGGGTGTGATCCCAGAGTCCTGAGATGGAGTCCCACATCAGGCTCCCTGCAAGGAGTCTGCTTCTCCCTCTGCCCATGTCTCTGCCTTTCTCTCTCTCTGTCTGTCTCTCACGAATAAATAAAATCTTTAAAAAAAAAAATAAATAAATAAATAACTAGACCAGGCAAATGTATAGAGAACAGAGTAAATTACTGGTTGCTGAGGGCTTGCAGTAGAGGAAAGAC